ACAATTTCATGTACTGATTCACGTTCCTTGTGCTTATAAAAATCTTCTCTCAACTCCAAATAGGATGAAAAGGTCAGGTCTTGCACTCACACATACAACAATTCAAGCACACTATAAATTCAGCCCTACTGCTCTTCTTTTTGAAGAAGAGCTATCTTACTTGGCAGCTACATGTGATGACATGCAATAAATAAGTTAATTTATACTTCATGGTATTGTCAACGTAGATTCTCCTACGTAAGCAAGTAGACTGCGTTTGCCCTTAGTGAAAAATAATATCAAACATGACTGATTCTCAGTTCAGCACAACTCTCCTTTTTAAACAGCAGAGAAAATGCCACTATTAATAGCAGAACTGTCAAGACAGCATCATCTGAAAGACTCAGAGCGTTTCAAGACAAAGCCAGATTGTCATTCTCTTGCTGCACTTTGCAAAAGATGGGGGTGGGGGAGGGAGGAGGGGGAAGAAAAAAAATCTGATTATTGAAAGTGAGATAGTTTAAAAGGAAACTTAGTTAAAATTTATGCTCTGGATCAGATAGAAAGGGCTGACATGGTTCAGTGTAGGATTCTTTTGAAAACCAGATGTTTGTCTTACAGGAGAATGGTTCCATTTGTCCCGTGTTTACTAGGGATTCACCTCCAGTGAAATAAGTCTGGGGAGCATGGACGGTAGTTCCTGGTCTCACTGTACCTTCTACAGATGTCTGTGCTCTTTATAAAATGCTGGGGTGGGGAAAAAGAGGTGGAGAATTCTCACAGTTACACTTAGTAAATCAAAACCAGCACTTCTACACATACCTAATTCCTTAATCATTTTTTCCCCTAACAGGAGCATTGAGGGAGACTTCACTCTGCACATTCAGTAGCTTTGGGGTGACCTAATTGTAGCCTTGCAGCACCTGAAGGGAGCCTGAAAGGAAGATGTAGGTGAAGGTGGTGAAGTGCTGGAACAGGTTGCCCATAGAAGTTGTGGATGCCTCATCCTTGGAAGTGTTCAAAGCCAGGTTGGATGGGGCTCTCAGCAATCTGGTTTAGTGGAAGGTGTCCATGGCAGCAGGGTAGGAACGAGGTGGTCTTTAAGGTCTCTTCCAACCCAAACAATTCTATGATCCTACGATTCAATATAGTCACTCCAGACTCTTCCATAAGGACACACCTCTGCAGTGAACAGGGATGCCAGTTTACACTGCCCTGGCTCCACAAGGAGATACTCAAATAAGTGCCAAACCCTTCCTTTTAGCAAGAACCTTTGTTCTTCTTTTAGGTGCACATAGGAGTACTACACATGTGTTAGAGCACTCTATATACTACTGTAGTGGTATACTGCTGTATAAATTGCAGCAACATCTTTGAAACCTGAAAATCTAGAAGTTAAACCCTCTGTTGTATTCAAAGGTAAGTTTTTGGATGCAAGCCAATAGAAGGCATGCAATTAAAACTCTATAAACTGTAAGTAGGAAGGGCATTAGGAACTGAAACTCGTCAGTCACCGAGCTGTCAATTCTGACTTTGCTGATTTAAACATGGAGTTTATTTCTCTTGCCTGGGAGATTCCCAGCTATAGGAACTGATTCAGCACAGGCTGCTGAGCTCATTCTCAGAGCAATCATTAACAACAGCCCTTTGAGGCTACATCATAGTTCTGTCAGTGGTGTGAGCTGACTAATATAATACATCATAAAAGTAGTTTTAAAATATTGCTAACCATCCAAATCACTTTTTTCCATTTCCTAGTCAGTTCCATGGATGGTCACCCTTCATTTCTGAATCACCTGTTTTTTAACACTGCAGGAGAAATTATTAACTTTCCTTCTCTTACCTCTCTGCTGCTTCCTACATATTTCTTCCACAGGTTTAACATTGATTTTGGGATCAACAAGAAGAGCTGTTTATATTTTTGTCAGCACGGAAATAGCCCACACCGAATAGGAGTAACAAAGAAAGTTGTGCTGGCAAAAGCTTATTTGGTAAAACACTGTTTGGACAAAGCAGATAAAATTACAACTCCACACACCAGAAAGCACAAACATTGTAGTATTCATCAACATAGCACCAAGCAAGAAATACTGGGAATAGAGTATTTTAGCCAAAATTTTCAGGCTTTGGCATCCAAATGTAAAAATTTAAGGAACAATCAAGATTCCTCATCAGAAGTGTCTTGTGTAATTTCAGACCCCCTCTGATGTTCCACCTAGTTTGTAGTTGCTGCAACAGTGCTAGCCAGGTTCAGGAATGTCAATACTGGGTATTCTAGGACATATGAAATGATAGCAGGAAACTGTTTAGGAACCTGATTTACTCCTCTAATTTCAGATTTGGCTGTTTGAACACAAGGTACTTTGACTTTTTCAGAGGTGCTGACACTGTCAATGAAACCTCTTTTTTATACTTTACTTTTGTTTTACAGCTTCATTTAGAAGGAATCTAAGGTTAATAAGGGCTAATAAAATTGCTATAAACATGAAAAAATTTTGTCAGTTTACATGAAACATTGTGCTGAACTCGTGTAACAGCTACAGGCTGTGACACACATACCATTCTGTTTCATTATTGGTAATACTTACACTGATGCATATTAATGCTGCTGTTATGCTTTCTGGTTTATTCAAAAAATTGAGATAAGCCCATTTTAAGGTAATGCCTATAGCTTTTCCTTTTCTTTTTTCCATACAACAGGCAGACTAAACCATAAGATAGTCACACACTTCTAGTTCCTGGTAACTGAGCAACAATGTAATTTACTGGAGACATCTGCCTTACACAGCTGTACAGCAGCTGGTAAAGTGCAAGCAACAGGTAATATGGCTCTTTGTCACTCTCACAAATGGGAGAGAGACATCCATTACCAAAATTCTTAATGTGTGTTATTAATGTTATTAAGCAAATGTAAAACTCAAGAATTGAAAAGCAGCCATTGCAAATGGGAACCAGCTGTCCAGCAGGTGTCAAGAATAGCCCAAGAAAAAGGTAAATATGAGAAAGAGGGAGAAAACCTTAAATGTCAGGCACTGAGCACATAGGAGAGTTAAAGCATCCCTGATGGAATTCATTTCACATACATTTAGACACCCACAGTGTAAACATCTAAACCTGAGCGAGTCACCCAGGGCTGTTTTTATGGGTGAAAAGAAAAAACAGGCACTAATCATCTAAGCTATTTTAGACTTCTGCATTAGAAACAGGCACTGCAATGGTCCCTCTATTCATCTCACATTTAGTCAGATAAATCCCACTCCCCAGTACACAAGAGCAGCAGACACCTGAGACAGGGCTGGTTCCCTGTTCATCTGTTGCCAATACATCACAGTGCCGAGCACAGTCATCATTTTGCAACTCCAGACATTCATGTGGGTAGTTTCCAGAAGAAAGCGAGGCCATATCTTCTGGATTCTTTTTAAGCCTCTTCTCTGGTGTCCCCTAACTCTCATACAGGCACAGTACTTGAGAGAAGTCTTTTCATACAGACTTAAACCCCAGTATAAAAATGACTATGCAACTACTCAGAGTAGAATTGCTCACGGGTTTCTTTAATGAGAATACTTGATTCATTTTTTTTCTTAGGCTGGTAACAATTGTTTTGCACAGTAATACCGTTGTTTTTCTAAGCTCAAGGTTACAGAACTTTGTCAGTGGGAAAAATAGTTTTCTAGCCACTCACTAGTTGGTATTAACTGCACATTGTTTAGTACCAACATCTTGAATTTTGAGTTACGAATTGTTCTGCTGTCAAAGAGATTCCACAATTTCATATTCCATTTTGGTTTGTGTAGGAAAACGCTATTCCTGCTTAAGACAACTTGTAACAGAAGCAGCAATTTTGTTAACGTTACATCTGACTAATTGCTGGATAGACTTCTCGCTGACTCTGCCAAGATGCTGTGTGGCCCAGGAGGCTGGCAACGATCCTGGGACACCATGAGCCCAGTTTCAGTTCTACAGTGCACTCAAGAATCAGCCTTTTTCTTCCTCTCTCAAAGCATTAGTGGTTCCCCCCAAGGCCACTTGCAGGACAGCTAGAATTAGAATTTGGGACCAATATTTCTTTGAAAAGCCTGTTTCACTTTTCTTATGTCAACCCATAGCTTGATTCAAGCAACCACTCAGATGCCTTAAAAAATAAAAGATTCTGAATATTCAGTTCAGTCTTTTAAAATCTTAAATGCATGCTGATCTATCCATTGTTTTTCAGGATTTCAAACAACATCTTTCACAAGAGCTGAGCACATATACTGAGTAGTCAGTGGACACAGATCTCTCTTCATCCCAGAAAAAGTGCACCAAGGCATTTTCAAGTTCAATATTCAAGCAGTGAATACTGGCTGGTGTCAATCACCAGCCACATTATCTGCCTAATTGTTTCTCAGCACAATTCTCTCTCAGTAAAATGGGTTTAATCCTGCCTTCATTTCATAGCAGTGAAATTGCTACACTGAAAATAACACCAGAATATTATTTCATTGTAGTCAAATGCTACCGTGAGACTTTGGAGAGGTAAACTTGTTTCAGATGTTGAACAGAACTTACTGTCATGGTGAAGATAAAACACTGTACTTACTTCTCTTACACTGGGACTTTCCATCCAGAGGAGGGATAGCAGGAACCTGGCAAAAAAAAAAATATGGGATCATATCATTAAAAACAGAGAGCAAAATATCCAGAAGTAACATCCCTTAAAAGAAAAAAACAAACAAACAAACAAACAACAGAACTCACAACACACACAAGCCCCCCACAAATAAACAACTACAACAACCAACAAAGCATTTTGTCACTTTCTAGAGTCTTATTTGCAGACTAACTGTTGTAATCAAGTTAAGAGGCTACTATCCCTGCTAAATATTCCTTCTGTATTCAACTCAAGTAACACTGATGCCTGAAGTGAGCCAACACTGGAACTCCAGCCATTTCAAAGAAAATCTGGTGTTACAGACTAAACCAACAAAGAAGGGGAGTCTCAGTCAAGGCAATAGACTTGGCATTGAAGCAGTTCTGAACTAATTTGTGCTCTTTGGGATAGAAGAGACGCATATGGTAACTTCTTATCCCAGAAAACTCTGCCTGAGATTTTGTGCCAGCATCTTGACCACCATAGATAATTAAAGACCATTTTTCCAAAGGCACTGGGGCACCTAACATAAATTAAGTAGAAGAGGAAAAAAAAGAAACCAAACCACCACGATTTGCCTATTTCCCACTGATATCTGGGGAAAATGGTTCTAATCTGTATCCTTGGAAATCTGCAATCAGGTAATTTATTAATACTGGATTTACTCTATTAAAAGCTGTGCCTTTTTCTCTGTGCACACTAGAGAAAAAAATGTGCACAGGTAATCTTTACTGTGACATTTCCTGGCTTTTTCATCCTAGTCTTGCCTTCTTAAAAATATTAATTGGCTCAATTTTCATGTATGCATGAAATCTACCAGTCTTTGTAAAACGTGAGATTTTACATGAATAGTGACAGAATTTTCATTCACATTTATTCTTGACTGAAAAATGTACATGATTTCTACTGTGTTACCCTGAATGATAACCCTATCTATCAATTTAAAAAATCTTCACTCTTTTCTTACTCCTCACACAGCTATTATCCCTCCAAACACTTTTCCTGTTTGATCTATACACTTCTACAACAAACCTCCACAACTTCAACTGCTCCGTCTTCCCTAAGATATCTGTTTCCCTCTGTTTCAATTACCAGTGATCTGGTGTTTCATTTGCTCTGGTTTTCTTTGTGACTTTTGTTACCTTATTTAGCCCTCAAAAAAACACCCACAGGGAATATTACCTCAGCATCTTATCAGAACTGTAAAGCTGGGGCTACATTTCGGGTGTGCAATATGCTATTACAGCACCTTCACCAGGGCATCCTGCATATACCAGGTGAATATTTACTGATGTACTAACGAAATAATGACCCACCTGCCTCTACTCCTCTCTGGGGCACTTTCTGTCTATAGGGATTGGAATTAACGACAGTCTCTCTGTTCTGCCTGATGTCAGAGCTGAGAAAGGTGTGAAGGATATATAAGAGCCGTATTTCTTGTCAGCAAGGAAGAGGGAAAAGGATACTCCAGAGCTGGATGCAAGCGTGGAATTGTTGCATGCACCCTTCTTGCTGACACAGACGGGCTTCTCCAGTTAGATCCGTGACCACAAAAAGGTAAACATTTTCCCTTTTTTCTGTAGATGCAGTGCAACAGATGTGCTTTCAGGAAAGCAAAATATCCCTCATTATTAACCAGCAGCATTTTTTAGGAAAAGGCTAATACAACTACAAGGGAAACTGCACTGGGGACCAGTATTTGAGACTGGGATATGTCAGTAAATGCAAATCAGAGATAAGGGATAGGATTGAAACTACTAGATAAAAAATGAGCATTTACTGCTGAGAGCTATCTGTCTAAAACTGCATTGTGCCCCTAAACTTAGGGGGGTCATTTTTTCACTCCAGACTGTGAAAAGGACTAACTGCCGTTGATTTAGGACAGAATGGGAATCAGTAATAGGATGTGCTGAAAAGTATTTGGGTTTGCTTTCAGTTCTGAATCATTATTCTTTTCAGAAAGTTTGGAAGGAAAGATGTGCAACCTAAAGCTGTCTGTTTTCTTCATTGCACTTTCTGTCACTCTGAGCTGTTTGGAAGCTACACCTATTGAGAAGTGAGTAATAAATAATCATGTTTATTTCTTTTTAGGGAAAAAGGTGTTCAGATTATTGCATGAACTGCTTTTGCTTTCATGACTCAAATAATACGAGCAAAAATAGAGCTATTCGGTTTCACTGGGTATTTTGTTGTTGTTTGAAGATTACTGTCTGTGGCCGATGATCTGTCCGATGGTACTTCTAAGAGACAAGGATGGATATTGCCAGTAATGTCACAGAATACACTCTCAGGACTTAGTGAGGAAATCCCAGAACAACCAGCAGCAAAGGCAAAAAGGTATTGATTTTCTTTGTTTCTTCTAGTCATATCAGACAGGATTAAATTATGAAGTAAACTTTGTGCCAGTAATATCTTCTTACTCGAGACTCTTAGTCTCTGCTGTTTATCCTCAAAAAGAGATTAAAATATCCTTCTTCTAGTAATTAGACCTTTTCTGTAAGCAGAAAGGTCAGCTTTTCTGTAAGTGTAAGGTTAGAGCATTCAGGGGAAAAAGTGAAATCCCACGACAAAAGTTGCATATCATTTAATCCCTTTACAATTATAATGCTTTTGTAAATTACAAAGGTTACAAATACTACAATACTTTGGGAAGAAAGGCGTATTTTGAAAGTGTCTTCTTTTTTTTAAAGTTTGTCACATTTCCAAGCCTGAAGGGAGAAAAAAAATATATATCCTTCTTAATAACACTAATGCTCTGATAGAATGGGATTGTTTCATAACATAACATTCTCCTGGACGTAATTTTTCATTAGAGATTTCGATAGCAATTTAATCATAGGAAGAAGGAAAAGTTGCAATTGATATGACAGCATTTGTCTGAAATGCATTCATATTTATAAATTCATAAATCCAGTTTCAGGTAACTTCTAATGAATAAAAAAAAATTTCAAGAAGTATTTGCAATTTGTACTAAGAGATAAGCAGCACTGAGCTATTCACAGAATCATCAAGGTTGGAACAGACCTTCAAGTTCAGCTAGTTTTGTCAGGCTTTTGATTGAATTTCTTTCAATGACAATTCTGTTATGGATAGTTTCAGTAAATACACATGTATACAGAGTTGCCTGTGCCTTTCTCTTTGAATATATATTTTTAAATACTATTATATGACAACTCTGCTATCTTCCAAAATATTTTTATAATGGTGATTTACTTCTCACATTTTTACAGCTATTACTTTTTAAAAAATCAAAAAAAAACCACAAAAATAACTGTAACACTCAAAGAGAAGGCATCACCTTTCTGAGTGTGGGATGCCTTATCTGCTTTTTTTGAGCCTTGGACAATATCTCACTGGGGGAACTGTCTCACTGAAACACACATTTAGGGGCTACAGATCAGAGAGCTAACAGGTATAGTGGGTTCAGTCAGTCTATCCATCAGAAAGAAACTCAGTGGCTTCCTGTAAGGGATGGAGTTTTACACTTGGAGTACCAGGACCTGATTTTGCATCTTTAATGAAAAAGAGAATTCTACCTCCACAAACAAAGCAGGATCTCCATGAGAACGAGCTGCTGTTTGAACCTCCTATGTTAAGGACTTGGTTAAACTCTTAAAATCAATAAAACTTCCCATGAAAATCTAAGAGAAGCTATATAAAGCCCTGTCCATCCATTTCATTTAAGTACAACTACATATTTAAAATAGTAATTGCTTAAAAATTGCTGCCTATCTCCTGGTGAAGAACCAGTATAATACAGACATTTCTCTCACAACTGCTGTTCCACTTGGATTCTTAGATCAATATAAATAACTTTAAAAGGCTATATGACATTTTAGATAACAGATGTAATAATTAGTAGGAAAAGGAACTCACTGATAACTCCTGAGTTTCAAACTGGGAAAGCGTCACTCTTCACACTGAATTTTTGCTGGAAATTCGTGTCTACCTCATGCCACATCAGCAGAAAGAAGTCCAAAAAAATTAACAATAACTCAGTAGGCAACCTCAGCAAGCAAGTATTTCTGAAGGAACAACATAGTGGTCAAACAAACAAATTTGAAAACCCAAGCTCTCTCAAGCTAGCAGTTTTATTGTGATTAAAAAAACCTCATGCTATATAAGTTTTACACGGAGTTCTGCAAATGGTCTATTGGTTCACCTATTTGTAGATGTGGATCCTTCCACGGACACTCTTTAAAGCATCATTATCTCAGCAAATCATTATCTCCTACCACTACAGCAACTTTCAAATTGCTGGTGTTTTCAACAGAGATGTGGCAGCTTTTTGGTATAAAATCTCTTTTGAGTCACAGTTAAGCGGTAGAGAGACAGAGTAGCACTGAAGTTGGCAGAAGCTGGCAGTGCCTGATGCTTCTCATAATGTGTGGTGCAATTGGGAGAAAGAGTCTTTGGGCTCATTCTACTTGATGTGGACTGGATTACCATTCACTTCAGTGAGAGCGGGATATGACTCTGTGGTAACAAGAGACCTAAATAAATGTTAGTGACTGTCACTGTGTTAGTAATCCTCATGATATCAGCAAGAGCTCTAAATAGATTTAGAAGTTCAGCTTGAAGTTAAACATTTAGTCATTGCTTTCACTTAGTGTATAATCTATACTATCATTACAGGTTTTCTAGATGTCACAAACTGCTATGTAGAACATCAATAAAAAACGACATATGACTGTTGAGGTCTCTGCATTTGAATAACCCCCACCATTAAAACTGATAATAGATACAGCACAAGAATTTTTTTACAGGCACAAAGTAGGTGGTGGGAAGATTGTAATGTTCCTGTATTTGTGCACATCTTAAAAGAACTCCCACATTAGCACAGCTCAAATGACTGTTAGAAGCGGCACACTATTGCTCATCATTTGACTTAATCTTGGCTCTTTCTGTCTCACCTTGGTAGTCACCACCTGGAGAAGCGGAAATGCAACACTGCTACGTGTGTGACACAGCGCTTGGCCGACTTTTTGGTTCGTTCCAGCAACAGCATCGGAGCAATTTATTTGCCTACGAATGTGGGCTCCAACACATATGGAAAGAGGGACACAGAAGGGCTATTAAGCAGAGAACCCCCGAACGATGCATAGCTTCAGGGTGTTAAGGTGGCTACCGATACAGTTTTCATTAGGAGCTCAGATTTTAATGTATCAATAACCTCTTGGTCATTTATTACTTGTACAGTCTTAACAGTGCCTTGTTTTCTGTGTGTGCGTGTGGGTGGGTATGTGATTTATGTTCACCATTTCACTATGCATGTACAAGGACATGCATAGGCTATCCTTCCAACTCCATTAAGAATCCCAGAAACCTGCTTGTCAAATTCTGTTGTAAAAAAGTAAATGTATCTATCATGATAATAAATGGAACAGTAATTGCAACAGGGGTTTTTTATTATCATTATTATTATTAAAAGGATGAAAAACGTAACCGTGATGTGTATGTCTTTATAGTCACAGTTTGGTAATAGAAAGAAATCACAATTAAAGAACAGTAAATATCAGAATGCTAGCAAAAGTTATGCCCTAAGCAAAGTAAAACAGAAGAATCTTCTGGGTTTGAAACATCTGCGGCATCTCATTCTGCACAACTGAAGGAACAATCAGGTGAGACAAGTTGGCTGCACTGTACATCATAATCATATGATTATGCAGTTCTCTGACTTGTCTCTTGCCACTCTAACATGCATTAAACAAGTAGAAGTGGTCTTGCACCACAGACATCTGTACATACCGAGCATAGAATTTTAATAATTTGCAATTTTTTCTCTGAGATTTTATCAGTAAAATTAGAATAATGAGCTTTTAAATATGAATACCAGAAAACTTGGTTAACAATTCAGCAGAAACTCCTATCCTTGGGTATTCCATCCCTCACACTAGAGTGACAAAGGGAAGAGACAAATCCCATGAGCAGTTGTAGCATCAAAATTTATCAGAGGAACAGGGTAAATTTGTCCACCAGCATATTTATATTGCTACCAAAATCCAAGAAAACTATTTTAGAGATGGGCAAACCCTAACGAAAATTTGACAGTGTTATTTTCTATTGCCCCAGCCAAGTATCAGTGCAAGCTTAAAAAACATGTTTGTTCCTTTAAACTGCTAAGCAAACTTTCACAGAGATTACATCCTGTATCACAGCAATGGTTGTTTTGTCTATCATTTTCTCAGTGAAGGCTTCACTATCATCTGAGAAACATTACTGTCCAATTACGAAAAACATTCAGCAGAAGCTTAGTTCTAGAGAAGCAAATTAAATCTTAATAATTGCCTTCAGTTGATTCTGTTATAAAGTATACCTCAAAATAAATACATTTTTGATAAGTTTAATGTTAAATGGGATATTCCCTTCATTTCACAAACAGTTCATGGGAATAAAAATTACTGCACAGAATTTCTGCTGCAAAAGTATTACTGATTACTCTCTTTACTGAGGAAAGTTTCAATCTTTGTTAATGTTCTAATGGATATTTATTCTGATTTTTATTGAGGAAATCATTCATATGGTATAAACTTGTCTAATATTGCTGCCAGCTTGAAATTCTTTCCATTCAAGCTGGAGTTATGTTACACACCCATTCTGTGCTTAATTTGTGTTTCAGCTAGGATACTTATTTTTCAGAAAAAAAATGACAAAGTGAAAGGACAGCTTTGAAGTGTCACTGTGACATTGTACAGAGGAGTAACCAAGTGGAGTCTTCCCTTCCTGCAATGCTTTATGCACCAGCTTTTGCTCTTTCAGCTCCCATTTGGCAAATCACAAGAAAGCACAGGCTGCCTATGCACAGGATCAGTGGAACTGGATACATTATTTTCTGCCTTATGCGCTCCTGAACCTGATGCATTTGACACTAACATGTATTTAACATTGGTTGTACTATTTGGCAAATGCTGAAGATGGTATCTGATCTAAATCAGTGAAACCACAGAGAGGGATAGGAGATTTATCAGTAGCTCAGAGGGTGTCCACCTCACTTATCTCCAACTGCTCTTTGTCTCACCAGGTGTCAGTGCTCTCCTGAAATCTGGTGAAGAAATACAGCTACTCCAAATTCATCCCAGCTTAGACATCTATTTTGGGATGGGATGAATCACTCTTGAACTGCCTCCATTTCTTCCTTGACGATAGAGAGTGTCTAGACAATTAGCTGAAAATGAGCCCTTAACTTTAAGATAACTGGAATTAGGTGACAGGAATCTCATCTGCAATTGGTATGAACCGTTCAAACTAAAAATAATTTTAAAAATCTGGTAAAAAACCACAACACCAACACATCAGACTCCAAATCAACTCATATTTTGAACTACATTAGTTAATTCGTCAGTTAGAGCATCTTGAGAAACTGTCTACACTGAGACTTGTTTCCCCGTTCTGTGTAGTTACCACTGACTGCACTTAGGCCCCTTAGAGAAGAAGAATCTGGTCATGCTAAGCCTGAATGCAAGCACAATCCTGAGAGAATGGGCCAGGAAAAGAGTGGATTTAAAAAGAAAAATTAAAACCCAAACCAATCAACCAACCAAACAAACAAAAAAACCAAACAAAACAAACAAAACACACACACACAAACCAACAAAAAAACAAAACAAATTAAAATATACCAACAAAAACCAAACAAACAAAAAAAAAACAACCCACAAAAAAACAACACAAAACCCATAACCAAAACACCAAAACCACATTACAAATAAGCATTTTCACACCACTTCAAAGAACCCCAAACAACATAACTTCAGACATGTCAGAACACGAAGACTGCTAGGTGAAGCCTGGTTAACCAAAATTAAGTGCCTCTATACAATTTTTAAAATCCCAATATGTATTTTTCTGCCTCTTCAGGGACAACAATATTTTTTGAGAATCAAGTCTTACATAGACTGTGTTCTTTCTCAATTCCTCTGGAAGCCCTATGTCTTTCAGAGAACATTCAAAAAAAGAAAAAAAATACAAAAGAGGAAAATCAGGAATGTATACAACATGATAAACATGGCTATATTCCCATTAAAAAAAAAAAAAAAAAATTCTAGATCTCAGTTTTTTAGTGTGTTCTATTAAGTTATGTTTAAAAAGAGTAGAATAGAACCATAATATTGAATCTCAGTGAATGAGGAGGGAAAAAAAAAAATCATCCAACAAGCAAAAGGAATGTTTAAAAAAAAAAGGTGATATGAACATGAAGAATGTTTTAAATGGAGTAGTGGGCCCTAGGGTCTAATATTTCTAAAGAACTATGACAGCTTCATCAAAGACAGAATTTATATTTTTTTCATGATGAATAGAGTTGAGGTAAAAAATTGATTTCACTTGTAAAAGCTTGGGCTAAAACTAAGACAGCACACAATATACATGGAGTATAAAATGCATTCTTATTGAATAGTAAATTTTTAAGGAATAGTTTCCATTTCTATTAAGAAAATATAGCTACTTTTCAGACAAGTTTCTTAGTGAGAGTTTTAAACACTAGGCTGGCAAAGCTTCCATTCACTTTCAATGAGATAAGTTATTAGAAAGTCTGGATTTTACTGAATGGCTTTCTAAAACCATTTGAAAGTTAATACCTTGATACTATGAATAAAATCCTTTTCCTGTGATGCACTGTTGCACATCTTCAGTACCTGCCATCTTCACTTTCTAGATTTATGCTGGGTTTGACTCAGTTAGCTCACCTACAAACACAGTTTGACAGGTATGGTAGACTTTTTGTTCAGAGTTACAAGGTTAAGTAATTTTGTTGTCTAGGCTCATTATTATATGAAAAAGGAACTGCTCTACATTGCTTTTGCAATGCAACTAGCAAAAAAGCTGTGGTTAGGTGTGACACACCTCCTTGCTGGATACAGAATAATGGCTGAAGTAACACAAAATAGAATCTTTCCGTGGGATGTGACAACTTCTATTCCAATCACGCTACTGTTATCTCTATTTTTCCGCATTCAGAAAAAATCCCACACTGAAAACCAAAGTATTTTGAGACTCAAATAACCAGTACATTTGGAGACAACACCAAGTAGGGTAGAAGTGTTGATCTGCTGGAGGGAAAGAAGGCTCTGAAAAGAGATCTGAACAGGCTG